TTAGGCTCCCTTCATTAAGCCGATCGCTCAGGCCGATGCTTCGAGGGTTTTCTGTTTGGAAAAAATACGCTCAGCAGCCTTTTTTCGCTCGGAGTTGGATGCAGGGAGACTGGAACACAGAGAGGAGGTGGCACCGGTCAGCCGTCAGTGGCTCGAGTGTCCCTGGGGTGTGTGAGCACTCGGCTGTTGGCGTCCTCAGGTGTTTCTGCATCGTCTGTCATCGGTTTGACTTCCTGTTTGAGGTCTTGGCCCACTTGAGGTGTGGAGTTTTGAAAGCCCTCTCACCCCGGAGTCCTTTTTGTGAATACTCACCTCATTGTATCAAAGTGTACACTTGTCATAGTGAAAAGTTTATTTAAACCGAACAGAAAAAGTAGCTTCAGGTGATTTCTGAAAGTTTTCTGTTGAATGAGGGTTAAACTGTATTTGTACTGACGTTTGCAGTTCAGTTTAACTTTCCGGGCGGTTTTTCTTTATCAAAGCCCTGAGTGTTGACTCTCTGACGCCCTGTAACAGCAGTTGTCGTAACACCTTGTTTCTTTTGTTTTTCAGCCAGTTTGTTGCTTTTATAGTAATGAGGAGGATATGTAGCAGCCAGCGGCTGTTATAAAACACATATTAAACATATGTACATGTACATATGTTTAATATTTGTCTACTCTGCAAAGTCTTTCAAGGAAATTTTAGGAGTCTGTTTTCTTTCTCTCAGAACTTAATTAGAACACACAAGCAATGATAATCTCACAATTTCCTAAATTAACAAGATTAAGAAACACTCCCTTCTGTTTTTGGCTAGGGTTGGTTCATTTTTGCTTCTAATATTATTTAGTATGAATAACAAATGGATGTCTATCACTACATTTCTTAGAGGCTTTGTGGTCATGAAGTCACTCTGGGAAAATGTGTTAACTGAAGCTAGATTCAGACCGTGAAGGACGCCACGCGCTGGTACACGTTCAAACGTTTTTCTTTTTACAGATTTTTTTTTCCGGAAAATTTTCAGAAAGACAAAGCTGTGCAAATTAAACCAGTGAGGAGCCTCTTGTGCAAATGTGTGGTGAATTTTCTGGGTGTGAACGTGTTTATCTGTTAGAATGACGAACAGGCTGCTGTTGGTGAAGCACAAGACATTTCGCTTCCCTTGGAAAAGCAAAGACGACCTTATTTTCACAACACATGCCAGAAGAAGTTGATTTACCAGGATTAACATGTTTTGAAGGTAGAGGACCTACTCAGAGAAGTGTAAACTCTCAGCTTTCAGCCAGCTCTGTCCGTTTCTGGTCTCTTCTGTTTGTTCTAAAAACACGGGACACAGTTATGAAACCTGTTTCTTTAATGTCGATTCAGACGAGTTTATGGGATTTTGATCCTTCGCATATTGTCCAAACTGGAAACATCCATAACCCGGAGGGAGTTTTACCCAGAAAAATACTTACTATTATTATTATTATTATTATTTCAAACAGGCTTTCAAATATATTTTAAAAAATGATTAAAATGTAATATAGAAGAAAAACAATAATCTCTGACAGGGTAACAAATCAGATCTATGATCAACATCAAAGCCTATTATGATAAATATATGGGGCTGAATCAGCTCCCCTGGGTGTTTGGTGACAGTAACTTGCATCTAAAAAGATCCAGATCAAACCCTTGCTGGATATTCAAAGACATTCTGACCTCATTGTGTGGCAAACTGTTCACAACTTGGCTTCATTATGTCCTTATATAGGGTTTTAAAACTTATATACCTGTCTTTATATAGGAAAGCGAGTGTACGTGCTTAATCGGCCTTTTGATGAACTGATCTGTTTCTGGTGTACGCTGCCTCTTGCCTAATGGCAGCTGGGACGGGTTCCAACCCCCCCACGACCTGGTATGAAGCGGGCATGAAAAAAGAATAACTAGATAACCAAGAAATAGAAAAATTCTTGAGATTTTAAATTTTATTTTCCAAGAGTTTTCAGGCCAATATAGGCAGCAATCCAAGTCGGCACAAATAAGTTAATAAAAAAAACTGACCGCAAAACAAAACACATGCAGATACAAAATGAATGACTTATAAAAACTGAAAAGCTTAAAAATACTGAGAGAACTTCATCTGAAAAGACAAACGGCTGCCTCGCTGTTCTCTGCTGGGCGATAACTGTCTGTCCGTAGCACATTAAACATTGATCAGTGCAGCTTGTAAAGCTGCAGGAATCTGGATGAACATAAGGAAGAAGCAAAAAAATATTCAATATTTCAAGGAAACCCGAGTCTTCACTTTTTCATAAATATATTATTATCATATATAGATATATTGTACTGTAATTTGGTCTGTAGTGACACTCTCCAGGATTTTCAAACATTTCTTTTTTTTTTTTGTCAAATATCTCTAACATGAATCCTGAGTGTTTTTTTTTTTTATAAGGACCATAATTTGAAACGTATGTTCTCGAGGATTCACACTCCTCATTTGAATGAGGTTATCTTTCCCACGTTTCAGCTGAACCGAAAAGCGCAGAAAAAAACTTTGTAACTGCACAACCAAAGTGCTTATTGTTGAGATAAGTACACATTTGCTTGTGCTGAAATGCCACAGCTGTGTTTAGCTAACCTCAGCAAGTGAGTCTATAAAAGACACCACATGAGATGAGGCTGCTATTTTATAACGTTCTCTGGCCCGGCAGAGGCTTTGCGGGTCACTTTTCTTAGTTTCACTGTCTGAGTCTTCTTTTTGGACGGGGACCAAAGTGTTTTCTGGAGAACAGACGCAGCTGCACTCACTGCTGGATCTCTTACTTTTATTTCAGAGGGCACGTGGTGATGAGCGCCGAGGCAATTATTTTTCTTTGACTGTTTTATTTGCCCTCAAAACTCTAATATTGGTTTCAGCTCTCGGGGCCAGCAGGTACTGTGGCTGCAATTACCATACTTAAGCCGCACCAAACCACTTCTGCTACACGAGTGTCATTAATACTGCCGAGCTCCTTCACACACAGACACGTCGCAGCCTCTCTAATTAAGAGCCAACCACAGTTCCCATGACTGGTCTGTTACATGACTCCGGTGGGGGGAACTCCAGCGATTTACGGGAAGAATCATAAAACTATAAACCAGACTATACCAGGAAACTTTGGGCCTGAACCTACATTTAGAGACTCCCTCATCAGCTAATATAACTGCTGAAGGGGAACTTACTCATCCCTTTGAAATCACCATCAGAATAAAAAAATCCCATTGAAGCTTTGGGTTGACTAATTACACATAGCTGGAATCCGGTTGTGAATTAGATCATCAATACTGGACAGTTTGCAAAAAAGAAAGAAAAAAAAAAAAGAAGAAAAAAGCCAGGGATCAAGTCCAGAAAACCAGTAAAACACTTTCACACAGCAGGGCTGTTGCATCAGTGGTGAGCTGCGAGACGTGGCCCACAATGTCTCATCTGTTAGCAAGCATCTGGAGCGGGTTTCAGCCGGTCGGCTGCCACAGAGCACCTGGACGCTCGCTGCGAGGGTGGCCTCCACGAGTCAGCTCCAACTCGCCACCAGAGGCCCGGGCTTTCAAGTTTTTTGGGGGTTTCACTCCGTCCAGAACCTTCCCCGCCGGTCACTGTGGTCCGTTAGTTGCTAACGACTGAAGTCAGAGTGGAAATGACGGCGTCTCCGTCAGACAAAAAGGGATTTCCTCAGCATGGCAGGCCTAGTTTCTTAGCAACCTTTAATATAATGCAGAAAATGTCTTTAATACAATACAGAAAATGTCCCTGACAGGAAATGACATGGATACTTCATAGCTGTCTTGTTTTGTTTCATTATGACTCTTTCTGCACAAAAGCTAAACATTATGTAGAGCAAAAGATAAAAAGGTGGCAGAAGACAAAGGGCGGGACTGAGGAAAAATTACTTCAAACTTCATCAAAAGGAATCTTATGCAGTTGTTTAGATCCATTTTCTATCCTGATTGGCAGAAGAAAAATCCTGCTACAGAGTCTTTCTGCTGGTCAGTTCAGGCGTAGTGAATTCTGACTCGATTTGTGCTGATTTATGGTGGAAAGTGTGCGAGGTGTCACACCTGAAGGAGAAAAGGATCAGTTCAACGCACCGTGGCTCCTGTTGTAAGACGTCTGGTGATGGAGATCAGTAAAATGTATCACTTTGAAAACGAGGAGTGAAGAGCAAATTCCTTTGTCTGAACTTTGCAGCATCCCGTGTGTTGCCTTCCAAGTAAAGCAGGAAGGAAAAGAGGGCCCATCTGCTTCTTCTGCATCATCCTTTGTGAATGTTGGACAACTTCTTTTTTAACTGTTTCCACATGTTAAACCTGCATTAATCTGTCAGGGACACAGATCAGGATGGCTGGCTGTTCAGCTTGAAGAAATAGTGTAAAGAAAGGGGTTCTAACAGAGATGCTCTTTCAGCTCATTTCCTCTGATTTGTCACCTTAATGTCTCAGTTTTAATACACCTTTTACAACTCTGACGTCAAACAGATACTCCAGTCAATACAGGTTAGAGAGAGTCGTCTCCTTTAATATTTCAGAAAACATAAGATATTATCCTTTCTTTGCATTTTTCCATATCTGTGCATTTTCCCTTCTCATAAAACCTTTGCATTCCTATTCCGTATGCACTGACCAGATGTGTCCTCTTGGACAGATGTTGATCATTTGTCCTGTGAGGTAGTTAGAAATGATGTCTCTGGTGACTCTGGTGACATGAGGAAAAACAGCAGAGGGCTTTTCGTGTGCAACCCATAATAGGTGTCTTTGATTTTGTTTTACCTTTGTTAAACTTTATTTACTTACTATTTACTATTTGCATGGATAAAGGTCTCGCGACCACCCTTTGGTGTATCTCTATAGAATGGATTTTTTATTCGCCGTCTTTATAAACCAGAAGCTTTTATTCTGCTATTTGAACACACGGAACAAATTCAGCCAACATAAACACTGCTGTTACAAATTCAGAAATGTGTTCCTGTCTTTTAAGAGGACTCAGTTGCCTTGGTGTCTTTTTCCCACAGTCCTCCAGTGATGACCGGCTACTTGGGAACAAAACACAGAAGATTGCTCCTCCAAAAGATGCCAGCTGCTTCTAATCCATCAAATCAATTTACTTTTGAGTGTTAAAAGAAGTGGTGGATGGTTTAATTTCCGGTGGAGTCCCTAAAGTTGCTCTCGGAGAATCACCATTATTAAAATCTGCTGGTGTTAGTGGGGGCCGGTATGTGGCCCCCTGACCTCGGTCCTCCAGATGTGCAGTTGACTCTTCCTGGTTTCGGGAGCGTGTTTGAAGATGCCGAGGATCTTCAGGCGCCTCTGTCCTCCGGTGGCTTCTGCCAGCCGTCCATCAGCTCGGGAGGCCTCTGCTGCCTTTCCAGGACCTCGCTGTCCCTGTCCTCTCTGGGATGTGACCTCAGCTCCCTGCTCAGCTGTAAGACCGCGGCACCCCACCTAGAAAAGACTGTGGAGGACTTTGCCAGCAAAGCTCAGACGGACCCCAGAAACGGTGCCCAGAGGTTCAGCTGCTTCCCTCAGCCCTCCTTTCCCGTCCCCTACATGCTCACCAACTGCGCCACGTCTCCGTCTTTCGTTTCTCCACCGTCCTCCCTCTCCACTTCCTCCTCCTCTTTACCTCTGACCTCCTGCTTGCCTGCGTCTGATAACCACCACAAAGTGTCTCAGCAGCAGCAGCACAATCCACAGGAGGAGTATTGCTCGATCAAACAGGAGCCGGCAGATGATTTCACACCGTGCAAAAGGGAGCCAGTTCAAATGAGCAGCCAGCAGGGGCCACTCTTCCATCTGGGCCAGTCCCTGCAGGGTTACAGCGGTCAGGACGGCACCCGGTCACCTCTTCACTCCCCCGGGCCGCTGGGGCAGAGCCCCACGCTGGACCAGCAGGAGCAGTCGTGCCACTGGATCGACTGCAGCGCCACCTACGGCTGTCAGGAGGAGCTGGTGAGGCACATCGAGAAGGTGCACATCGACCAGCGCAAAGGGGAGGAGTTTGCCTGTTTCTGGACCGGCTGCATCCGGCGACACAAGCCCTTCAACGCCCGCTACAAGCTGCTCATCCACATGAGGGTTCACTCTGGAGAAAAGCCCAATAAATGCATGGTGAGTCCACTGTGATAAACAGTTTTACTACTAAATTATTACACATGTTCGTAATGGTTGGCCTTTTCCAAAGTCAAATGTTTTTACTGCTTTAATGTGTTTAATATGTGAAGTAGTGTTCACAAGTGGGCCTGTACAGGTTAGCAAAAAAAATCATCTTGGAGCACCAAAAGTCATTAGATTTGGCAGAAATCTGAGGAATATATAACACATAGGCACATGTAAGAGGTGTGATGGTCACATGACCAGGTCTATTTTGTCTGCACTTCTGGATGAAAATGCCCAGGCTCAAAATGGTATAAGTAAGTAGGCAAATACCTGAATTCTATGGTAACCGGTTAATGAGCTGCATTATACAGCACTTAAGAGGTTATTAATAAACAGATACAACTGAAATATTTGGTACATAAATGTTTTAATGGTCTTTTCGGATATAATGAAAATTACTTTGATGTGTGCGCCTTCCTATCCAAGAAGAGTAAATTTAAGAACTATGACGGTCGTTGCGTCAGACCGGCAAAAACTGAGCAGAGTGGACTTTGGACAGAGGCCAAGTGTGATTCCTGGTCTGGCTGAAGAAAGCAGAAGTTCCTCCAGGGTGTACATGTACGCGTGATAACCTTTCCCCCTCAATTAGCCCTTATTGATGAAGTGATCTGATGAGGTTATCTGTCCCTTGGCACAGTGAGATAGCGCCGTCTGCGTGACATCACTTTAACAGGTGTGAAGGAGTTAGAAAAGTTCAGAGGTGCTTACTGAGGGAGAGGAGTTCCTGATGTGATGGAGGGATTACAGCGCTTCACCACCCCCAGTTGTGGTGTGTTTCACATATTTGTTCTAAATTCAAGTTGGCCAAATGAAAGAATTCAGACTTTGACGTTTCCCAAAGGAAACAGTTGTAGAAAACCTCCCTTTTCCCAAATTAAACTAACATGAAATGAAAAAAATTAGTTAAAAAAAAGGTTGGAGAGGTCTACGCAGTGACACACATGCAGGGGCAAATTTGGGATTAAATGGCAACAGGCTGCTTGAGAGCCTTTCAGAGTATTTTGTTGTGTTTTCAAAAAGTTTTCAGAATGAGTTCCCAGGCTGTAAAATTGTAAATAATTCCCTATGGTGTAACACCTTTTTTTGACTTTTCTAAAAATCTGTTCTTTCCCCTTGTTGCTTTTCTTTTTCAATTGAAAAACAGTGAATCAACCATTGGGATGTAGAGCATCCCTGATAATCATGGACACAATTTAGACAAACAAAAGGTTTTTCTGATTTAATTTTTGTGAACGTTAAGTTACCCCACTAACTAAGCAGAAGTAAGAGGATTAAATCTGTTACAATACCTAAATCCAAATGTAGAACATAAATATTTCACACTTCTTGGCTTTATATTTAATATAGCGGATACCTTCCACGTTTTAAACCTGTTGTTTATGCTGGTATTTCAGTTTAATTTTCCTCTTAAATCTGAAGAAATTGGTTAAATATTCCAAAAAACGTCATGTGTGATTTATTTTTACATTGGATGCCCCATATCAAAGTCATCTCTCTACCTCAGACTTTAAAGGGTGGTAATGTTGACTAAACAAAAGTCAGAGGAGAAAAAAGGGTCAAATTTTAGTCTCAAACATGCGTCATGACGGATTGAAAGTGCCGCACGCCCCTCCTGCTCCCAACTGAGCTCTCTGTGGTTTCTCAGATAAAAACTCTAAAGAATGACGTCTGCTCTGACGTGGAAACACCGATGTGAGTCACGTTTCCGTCCTGCTGCAGAGGACCTCTACAGGATGCTGTCACAGGTCCCGTTTAAGGACCAAAGGACCAAATGTGTTCTCCCAACATCACTGCAGAGATTTGGGTTCATTTCCATGTTAAAAACAGTGATAGATATACTCATTCATAGGAGAATTGTTGCTCCTCTCGGGGTCAGTGGGGATTCGGTTTTGCTTGGAGATCGCTCAAAAGACACAAGCACGCGCGTGTTATTTTATCCCCAGGCCAGAAAGGTGCTCTCCGTCTGAATCATTCTCACTTAGAAAACATTTTTTTTATTACTCGAGAAGACAAAGGCGGCCCCCGTGGCGTTAACCCTCCCAGCGGTGGCCTTTGATCCCGCCCTCCATCCCTTCTGTCATCGCTCCTTCTTCGAAAACGCGGCTCCTCACGTCTGTCCCGTGATGACCCTCTTCTCTGAGCCAAATGGCCATCCCCAAGAGGGAGTCACTCTGTTATTCCCAGCTGTCACCAACCCACAACACAGATTAATAATTCATTCAGAAGTTTTCACTCAGGGACACGCACTCCCTGCTTAACTGAATTACTTCATTATGGCGTCCCTCTCCTCTGCCAGCTCATAAATGTGTTACAGTGAGGAGTCGCCTGCAAACGGATTAATATTAAATCAACACCAACACCAAAAATTAGTCACTGGCCACACTCGACTTACTTCAGCTCTGTGATTTCATTTTCATAAAGTTCGGGGACCTGAAGATGTGAATGAGGTCATTCCTGGTGCCGCCATGGAAAACGAATATCTCACATGAAAGCAGGCAGTGTTTGTTAATGAATTCGGCCTTTTTTTTTTTACCAGCTCGGAACGTGGACAGGTGCTAAACACGAGTGGCCAAAGTCTTTCAAATCCACCGAGTGGTGGTGTCTCCCAGTGACAACATGAAGTGACGATATTCTCTATGTTCAAGACACCAAAAGCAACAGCTGCTGCAGAGCAGAGCTCTATTGTTCAAAAACCCGGGAGACACACAAGCAGCCGCTGAGTCGTGCTGGCTGAAAACGGACAGTTTTGTTTATAGTCTGGCCCAACGAGGTAAACGCGTAAAGAATCGGCATATGACGAAAAGTGAACCGAAAGAGAGAGGCTGCAGCTCATCGGGAAGGGAGGAAGATGGATGACGTTATTGTCAATAAACGTGTTTATGGAAAAGACACACGTGTTATTTTCCACTCGCTGTCACAGCCTCTGTTGTCTGAGTCTGAATGTTTCAGTATTTTTATTGTTGGAACTAACTTGGATCATCAGAAGAAGCTGCTAATAAAGATATTCATAAAGGAGGGCTTTTTTTAACCCTATATGTGGTCTTCTAGGTATAGAAATAGTCTTTGACCCTAAACCTAGTTTTAGGTCAAACATTGAAGGGTTTTTCTTTCATTTTCTTTAGTTAAGATTTCTTTTAGAAATTATATATATCATAATGAAGTTTCATTTCTAAATTTATAGTTTAAAATAAACAGACGTGACTTGTTCTTTAATAAACTTGTAGTAGAAGATGTCTTACACAGGTCATCTACACCTAAACAAATTGTTTTTCATGGCTCAAATTATCAGATTGAGGAGGAAACAAAAAAGTTTGAAACAATACAAATGAATAAAAGAGGGCCAAGGTTTCCTGAATGATGAAAAATAGAAGATTTTACTGTCGTTTTCAGCTGGGGCTGTAGCAGTGTCCTTTAGCCTTGTTTACATGGTAATTCACACAACATAACACTGAAAAACTGTCATTAAAAAATCCAATGTGCAGGACTTGTGAACCGCTGTTTCAGCACCATTGAACACAGAAAACATTATGCTGTTTTTCCATTTTAAAAAAACAACGCGTCAAAAAGAATGTGGGATGGAGGCAGCAGAGGGCTGGCAAACAAAGCAGCTCCAACATGATGCAACTAATTAGGTTAATTGGTAACAGCCCAGTAAAAAGTGGGCACAGAGCTAAAAAAAAAAACTGCAGGAGGAATTTTAGAAAAATGTTGCTCAACGTGAAACTGTGACGACAGAACGTGTCTTCATCTCCAGCTCGTGATATCCCCAAAAATTCTCAGAGGAGCTGGCGACATCGGTATAAGATTATTTTCGGCCTTTCGGCGCTACATTAGAAACAGGCATTACTTTGTTATGGAAATGCCTGCATGCTCTTAGACACACTTAAAAAAAAATGTCTGTGAGCGCAGCTCGCTGTGATCTGCTCGTCAAAGAGAGCCGGGCGCCTGCTTCCTGGCACCCGAAGAGCTAGAGCTGTGTCAGGGCTTCCTGTAAATGGATCTCATTTAGGTGAGAACGTTTTAGCTTTGAACTTCTGTTTGTATCTGAACCTGAGTTATAAGTGCCGTCCGTGTTCATAGTTATGCTTTCCCATTGTAATGCCCATCTAACAGCTAATAAATACAAGGCAGAGGTTTGTATTGTACCCTGTTATTTGCAACAAACCTAAAAGGAGTTGACTCACTCTTCAACCTCAAAGCAATTTGTTTTTTCTTTCCTGTTATATCTCGATGGGAAAATACTTCAAATTCAGCCTCTCGATCCCTCCCAGCTATAATCTGAGCAATTATTTTATTCTATCAATAAGCAATCGGTGAGAAATCATGAGTGCAGTTTCACAATGAATGCCCAAAAACTGTAGAGCGACAACATGACACAATGGTTACAAAGTCCTGCTTTTCTGCATGTGCTCCACTCCTGAAATTTAACAGTTTTTTTAGAAAGTAGTTTGCAAATGTTTTGGGTTAAAAAATGTTTTTCTGGATCAGCTAGTTTTTCAAATTCCCTATAGAAAAGCGCCTCAAATGTATACAGTCATATGTATAAAATGAATGACACACACACAAACACATGTTTTGAATCGCTGTGTCATGACTACCATCATATTAAAGCTGTAAATCAGAGCATTTTAGCATTGAGTGATAAACTTAAACCAAATTCACAGATGCAGTTTAATTAAATGTGGGGCAAAAAACACTATGAAAGTAGTAAAAATGTTAAATATAGTAGACACACACACAGCCTTTTCACAAAAATGACACTAATCCTGCACAGACTTGCAGGGTCAAAGTGGCTACTGTGAATTTTATGTCATGATAAAACTTTATATCATTCAACAGAGTTGAGGTTATTATCATTATAACTCTGCACATACAATAAATTAAGCCAACCTCCCGTTTCTTGTGGAAATACACATATTTTTATCAGCATTTCCCCCCTGTATTTCTCTAGTTTGAAAACTCTCTACCTTCTTAGTTTGAGGGATGTTCGAAGGCGTTCTCTCGTCTGGAGAACCTGAAGATCCACCTGAGGAGCCACACGGGAGAGAAGCCGTACATCTGCCAGCACCCCGGCTGCCTCAAGGCCTTCAGCAACTCCAGCGACCGGGCCAAACACCAGCGCACGCACCTGGACACGGTCAGTGAACGCCTCACGCTCTAAACCCGCCCCTGGACCTGCTTCTCCTGATCTTAGTGATGTGTTCACTGACAACGGTTTTCTGAGGTATTCCCGATACCACGCTTTGATTTAAACAGCAGCATCTGTATTTAATGCAGAGCTGCGTGAGAGCACATCTGTACGGCCTGAAACTGAGATGTGTTTTATACAGTAAGACATCTGAGGACGCAGTGAAGGAAAAACACCTCGCGAGGTCAAAGAGCCACACACAGCTGCTTCCCTGATCTTTTCTCCGTTTCCCTTCTTTGACTGAACATGCCAGCTAAAGAACAAAATCCCAAACGACAGAAAGCTTTTTATGACTCTGCCGACGTGGAGAGCAAAAAAAATAAAAAAATCTGCTGATGAAGAGAGCATGGGAATCTATAAATGCTCATTCACAGCATCGGCATTTATCGACTCTTTAATATCCCTGTCAGAGTCTTAGAGAGAACACTTAAGTTATGACTCTTAACATGGCTTTGTGTCACTGCAGCAGTAACAGTGATTAATGGACAGACTGATGTTTTCTTCTCATGCACAAAGGAAACAGGCCTCTTTCTGTGTACAGAACACTTTATTTCCATGCACCAGATAGCAAATAAACTCCAGCATTGGGACTCTCCATGAGGTTGTTTTCATGGCCAGAGGGCATGTTCAGCTACTGCACAAAAGTCAATCTTCAAACAAAGTTTCATCATTTCTAGAAAATCTACTTCAGGGAAATATTACTTTTTTTCTCATGGTCTATTCCTTTATAACAGTTTCTGTATGTACTGTCATAGTTTAGGTTTAAATATAAAGGAATTGCCATAAATCTATAAGTCCTTATAGCTCCGATTGCTCTTGGTTAGTATTCATCAATTCCAGCTAATGAAAGTCAGGTTTGTGGTGGGAGCTCTACAACACAGACTGAAACCACTAATAGTAGCAGCCTTCAGTACATCCCAAATGACCCGAAGCTCTTCTTTGATTGTGGGCTGCCTTTTGCACCGTTCTCTGTCAGATATTCCCACACTGCTTCAACAATGTTGAGCTCTGGGCAGGATTCGTCCCTCTTTCGGAAAGACAGTTTGTCAAACTGTTGTAGTTGGAATTTTTCATAGGTGCGACTAAGAAAATGCAAATAGGCTGCATGTATTAGCGACACTCTACTACTCTAAAGACGTGCCTAAAGATGAGTAATAAAAAGAGTTTCTTTGATTCGTGTTACATTCAGACACAACGCTGGACTCTTAATGAATGGAATAGTAGCCGATTTCCAAAAAGAAATTATCGAAAAGGCTGTAGAGCTATTTTTTAAGATCACTTTACAAGATTCCAGGAAAGTCTGATTACTGGTAAGAAGATACAAAAAATGAGCAGCTCAACACTTTTGCACAGTGCTGTGACTGATTGTGTTTCTTTGAATCCTTGTGACAGATTGGCTAAGAAAATATCCGCTGGATAAATAGAATTGGTTCTGCTATTTATACCATTACACGTTCTTTAAATATTGCCAAAGCAAGGTTATTTTTAGAGCACAATTTGTACACAAGGCAATTTAAAGCGCTACAGTTACATAAATTCACAAAAGTCAAACAGAAATATTCTGCAAAACATAAAGAATAATCACTGATTGATGAAACTAAAAGACGCTTGCATATAAAATTTGTTCAACTGTCATACGCATAGCTGATTTGGATTTAAATATTACAGAGCGGAGGCCTGTCTTCTGGTGGACTGTTACAGATGATATATTAAGAAATTTTCATAAGTAAGTTTTGATGAGCAGTGTTTTGGTGTCAGATTGATTTTTGATTATAGCCACGAGTTGAATTGTCAGGTTAACATAATATAGCATGACATATAAGGCTGACTGTGTCATTCGTTTTTTCACATTTAGGCCGTAAACACCAGTTTTATAACTGTCAATCTCATCATAAGGTTGTCAGGAGCCTTTATCTGAAATGAATTAGGAAGCCGTAGACATACATTGTGGATTATGTCTGCATATGGCTGCAGAGTGTTGAAACATATGCTGTTACAGCAGGGTGCACTTTATTGCTTACACTATTTGATAAACAGTATTTGAATAGTTGTGTGCAGTTCTGGGCACGCAGACACTCGTTTAAAGTGCCACCGCTCCCTTCATCCGCCCTGTCTGCAGAGCTGCCTGATGTTCCGTCTGAATCCAGCCGGACGGTTAGACTGCATACCTCCTGTGGATTTATTCTACAGCCCAAAGTTATTTTTACTCCTGCTGACAGGCAATGAGGATTTAGTAGTAATCCAGCAAATCAGAGCTCTTATTACAGAGATGAGATGGAGCTGCACGGTGCGCTCTGCTGTTATTACAACGAGAGTACGAAGTTATTTTGTCCCCTTTTGCGGTTTCATGCTGGCTAATGGCGGTTTCGCAGTTGCGTCACAAATCAGGAATCAGACACATCTGGCGCCGCTACGGGGGCCCAGTGGAAGGCTGGCTGAATGTAACAGCCAGCCAAGATAGGCTATTGAAGTTTGATTAAACCGCTCGTTTTGTGTTACTAAAATGAAGTCAGTTTCACTCAGAAATTCAGTTTCTAAATCAAATTAAACTTTGCAGCTCGGAAAAGATGCAAATTTGTTTGGTTTTTCACTTTTTTTCCTACGGTTTCTACACGTTAGTCAGTCAGTATCCATTTTGTGAAGATTTCTGATTGTGTGTAGTGGAACAACACGCTGGTGTTGAGTTTGGGATCAAAGTCCTGTTGATGAGACACTTTTAGCACGGCTTTAGTTGTGGGATAGATGGCTTCAAATCTGAAGCTGAATACTTTGGTACCCAGAGGGGTTTGTGTTGGACTCAGGGACTGTTAAGCATCCAAGTCCTGTGGCTGCAGAACCAGCCCGAATCATCAGCCTTCCCCCACCATGCTGACAGCATGAATGAGGTGTTTGGCCTTCTGTGCATTGGACCTTGGTCCGCTCTGTCCAAAGCCTGTCACCGTGGAGTGCATTTACGAGGACCCAAGGAACCGGGGTTTTATTTATAGAATAATAACAAAAGATGCTGCAAGGTCAGAAATACAAAAGAGTGCCAACAGTCGAAAGACAAGCGTGAAGACGAGGGAGGGAGCAAGAAGCTACGGGGGTAAGGCAGGGAACAGACCCCCCAAGAAGAGATTAGGAGCTGACAAAAAATAGGAGAAACCAGAAAGCTTAAACACAAAAAAATAAATTAATTAATAAAGAAAAAGCTCAAATACAAAGCTGGATGATTACTGATTGAAAGCAGCTGAGGAAGAGGAGCGCAGGTGAGAGGAGCAGAGTTGATGACCAGAAGGGAAAAACACTGAAAAGAATCAAGGGTGGAAATGGTGGGAAGTATGAACACAGAAACCAGCTTTCTGTAAAAAGACACAAGCAACCTGGTTGGCTGTAAATCCATTTTTATTTCTAGAGATGTTTAGATGTATTCCTGAGCATGTATATATATTTATTTTAAACATAGATGCCTTAAATAAATGTACTACGAATATATGTGATTAATAATTAAATTAATTAGAAACAGACTGAAACAATTGCACCAGGACTTCCTTTTTAAATTGAGCTTTTATTTAATTTGAAAACATACTTTTCTACATCTTTGCCACCTTCTGCTTCCACTTATTTCTCTTGGACATGATTCTCTCATTTTTGACTCAACTCAATTAACCAACAGCGGTTCAGTTAATGAAGTGCGACCCTCTAAATAAATACTGCACGTGTGTTTTTCTTAACCCGCTCCAGCTGTCAGTTATTGAGCAGAGGGAGAACGGAAATCTGTGAGGAATCAGACTCGTAGAAATGAGCTCATTTATTTTTCTTTTCATCCACTTTGAAGTTTGGGAAACTTAGTGATTTTTACTTCTTTAATTCTTATTAATTTGTTTCCTCATTCTCTTCCATTTGAGTCTTTGTCTGTTCTAAACAGTTTTTTTGAAGGTTCACATGTTCAGAAAGATAAATGCTAATAACTGCACATTGTTTAGCTGAACGCAGCTTGTGTTATGAATGACTGTTTTTCTGGCTGAACTTCTCTTTTCCTCTTTTTAAGCCTGCAGATGTAAGGTAAATATCTGCTGCATTCTCAGCTGAGGAGCAGCTTATGCAACATGTTGACATAACTACTCATCCTTCCTTTCTCTGTTAGTTCAGTCGTCTCCAAATTTACATCCATCCCAAATGTTTGTGTGTACAGTGTGCATGGTGGATGTGGCTCAGCTGCACTTGAATTGTTCATTCTAAATATGTTTCATGTCTGGCATCACATCGTGTTTGACCTAACGATCATCATCATGCACTGAAAGTTTTTTAATAATAGCTCATCCCAAGCCAGTGAGATTACATGAATCGTGTGTCTTTGCATATGAAGAGCAGGATCCAGTCTGCTCTGTGTCAGTCTGTAATCCCTTAATGTTGGGTTTATTTTGCTGTCAGCTTTTGTTTGTCTTCACGTCATGTTTTTTGTTGTAAAAGTGAAAAACGATGTCCGAAATGTCTTTATGGTCATTTTTACATTCTTCTTGTGATTCCTTTCAGACTTTTCTGAGCTTTGCTTGTTGGGTTTTGTTCACAGAAGCCGTACGCCTGTCAGATCCCGGGCTGCACCAAGCGCTACACTGATCCCAGCTCGCTGCGAAAGCACGTCAAGGCGCATTCTGCCAAAGGCCTGCAGGAGAGGGAGCTCAGAGGGCCGTCTGCAGCTTCTGTAGGTTCTCACACACCTCCGTGATTTAATCCACCATAAACACACTCACGCAAATATTAGTGGTGGGTTAAGAGGAATTTTTTGGGATATATTTCAGCTTTTATTGGTCAGATAAGAAAGGTACACAAATGGATGCATTAAGTGTGTTGAACTTTGTTCCGGGCCAACAGGAAACCAACACTTGTAAAAGTCTTGTGGGAATATTGTGAAATCAACTAATAATTCTTCTTTTACTCCAGACAAAGCAAGCTCTGTTTTAGTTTGTTGTGGAAGGTATTTTAGGGGAACATTTCTTCATTTCTTCTCAGTGACATGTTTCCTTTACATGGTGATAAATGGTGAGTCAAGGATAAAGTTGACGCAAACTTCAAATAATAAAAAATGTATTTGCATTTTAAGATGTTGATGTTTTTAACTGAGAAGCTTTGTCTGAATCAGACACAATCAATAAAAGCTACTTCAGACAACGTGACTGAAACATATTCAGGTGATTATGACTTAATTCTAACCAACGAATAATTCCCTGACATATGTCTCTAATTTCCACAGACTTTAAGTTATAGACAAACAGAAGCTGTGTCTTCTCTGATTGGTTCCCCTCACTCAATGACTCATTGTCTACAATGCAAAAACACTGATTGCCTTTGATATCAGACTTTTCCATCCAACCAAGGAATTGTGAAGCAGGCTAACACCTGGAGCATTTTCCTATGAAGCCATGCTCTTATGAGTCCTTGTATTATTATTATTAATGACTGATTAAAGTAACCATAACGAGGCAGCTAGAAACAAAACTGAGTTCACTGTGTGAATGAGCCTCCAGCTGTTTCTATGAATCTGTCAATCAAAATTCATTAAGTTAATTTGTTTAGAAGATTACAACTTGGACACTGACTGAAACGACATCTTTATGTATTTTGATAAAAATGTGTTTTGACAACACTGACAGGTGATTTCATCACAGTTGACTTCCCATCACTGGGCAGTTAAAGTTGTCTCACCAACTAAAGATCTGACAGTCTTCCAAAACCACTGGGGGGGGGGGTTGGATTATGTGAGAGTGACATCTGGAGAAAAACTGCATATTTAGGTGAAAACGTGTGAAAAGCACATTGAACGCCAGCACTGTCTTGTTCATAACAGCCCATGCTGTGTAAACAAATGCAACATAAGCCCAGTGCCAGTTACACTGCCGATGCACCCCAGAAAACAAACTGGAGTTGATAGGAGTCAGGGCCTAACATCCATCAGCTAAGGTGCATCCGTACTGGTTTTACTTTTCCAACTGCGTCACTGTTTCCATCTTAAAACGCAGCGTTTCATAATAAAAATGCACATTTTTTGGTGCAAGTGGCCTTTATTTGAAAGTAGGTTGACAGAAAAGGGCAGAGGGAGCAGGGAAAGCATGCAGCAAATGCCTCAGGCAGGGATCAAGAAGGTGCAGCCTCCCCATAAATATGCACATTTTTCTGCGCCTCATAGTTATATCTCAAAAACAAAAGTGAAATAAGTGTTTTCCGAAGTTGAAAAACACCAGCTTGAAACGATTAAGCATCTGTATATTGACATGTCACGTTATTATTGAACCATCCGAACATCATCTGAAATGAGATCTGCTATAGAAAAACGACTGATTGATTTATGCGTCGTAGCTTTGAAAACAGATGGGGCTTTTTGTTCGAGTTCTGCTTGGACCCCAAGCAGTACGTTAGAAATAATAATGGAAACGGAGAAAAAGAAAAGCAGAACATTGTTTTATCCTGTGCTGATTTCATTTTCTCATTATTCTCTGATGAAAGTCAAATTTTTCGTTTATAGGCCAGAGAGATGACTGTGCAGTATGTTCCCCTTAAACCTTAAAGCTGGAAAAGATATTGGTTTTCTTTCTTTTAGCTTTCACTATTAAAAAAAAAAGGCTCTTAAGGCGTCAGTGGTTGCAGGCCCTGTTTCTGAGGAAAGTATATGTAAAGCAGTAGGAGAAGGAAAGAGTGAATTCATTAGGATGAAACTAAGTATTCCGCCCATTCCCTGGAAGTCAGAATAGGGAGCCTATTGTTCTGTGTTATCTGGGCCTTGTTTATTTGCTATGGACCGTGAGTGACACTGGACTGTGTGTGTGTATTCAAATGCCTTGTTGGTTTAAATAGAACAACGTGTGCTTGTAAGCTGTGACGTGGGCAACAGACCCTCTGGAGCTAAATAAGACCGAAGTATCAAACATGCCCTTTCACATCTCCCTATATTTCTTAAAGCTATTGCAGATGGCATCTTCATAAACACAAATTTGGGCAAATATTTCTCACTGATTATATGTATTTAGTTCTTTTGCGGTCTCTGGGTGTCCTTTGCAAGCCTCATCTGACAATAAATTGTTTTGGAAAATCCCGGGGGATGCTCTGCTAATGATGGAAAATAAAGTGAATTATCTTGCCTTAACTGTTAACATTTTAAAATTTTGGAATAAGACTGCCAAACATCATTTCTGGATTTTGTACTTTGAGAAGTTGGCCTGCGAGATGAAACAGGAACCCAGCATCTGGTGAAAGCATCATTTATCTGAAAAATTAGGCCAGCAGAAAACCCTGTGTTTTCAATTGATCTACTGAATGTAATCAAAGGAGAAAACAGTCCTTTTTAAAGCTTAGATCCATGGGAGCTGTGCCGGCCAACCGAGGAATACATTTGGAAAACAACTGAGCTGCAGCATTGACGTTGTCATTTTCATTCCTACATGCGGGATCCTAAAACACACGGCGCACAACTCTAACGGCCCCATAAATCTGCATTATCTAAACGAACATCTGTATTTTGTCTTACTGGCAGGCTAAGGTCCACGCTGTGCTGGAATCTGATGTTTTGAGTGATTGTCTGGCAGGACAGCATCTCCACGGCTCTGCAGCTTCCCACCAAGAGAACGGCTCACCTTTGCCAGCCTTGCACGACTTTGCAGGTTTGTGTAGATGGAACAGTAGCAAGTGTCTGTGTTGACGCTCCGCCGCCGCTCTGAAAGTGCGTAAAAACAAAGCAAAAGGGGAACTGTCCAAACACCTGGGCTGTTAAGTTGTGTCTTTCATTTTCTCCCATGGCCTCATTTGCTCCTTTTCCTCCCCTCTCTCCTACATCATTCCTTCTGTGATAGCTCATCATGCCAGTGTTTACCTTGTCCAATTACCGGGCACTGGCTGTGGGCACGTTGGCCTCGCTCCGCCCGTCCTTCAGCCTCTCCAGCACAGGTTTTCCAGCCAAAGTCTTTTTTTCCCCCTCCTTTCAATGGCTGAACTAGGATCAAGAAGCTGTCAGGTACACTGAGGCTCAGTTGGCAAAGCAGAGGAGAAAGCGTCCAGGAGAGCTGTCCATGTCTATTACTTCAGACTACTTGCAGTTTTACCCAGAGGACTTTGAGGGAAAAGCCTCAAACGGCAAACTGAGCGCTATGTTTATTCAGGGTGAAACAAGCATGTCAGTGTTTAACTCAGAGAGTATCCCAAGAGGACTCTGTTCTTATCAAAAATGGATGAATTTTAGTAGCCTGGAACTTTGTTTCTGACTGAAATGTTCGCTGCTCATCTGATGTGCTTGAATCCAAAGTGTTTGGGATGTCAGCGGCATACTGTTGGAGTTTGACTGAACAACAAAAAAACAACATTTATGGTGTGAAGCACTTGGCTGATGTGAGCGAAGCAGGTGCTTTTAAAGCTTGAAAGAACAGCCGGATGATGCCAAGTATTTCCAAAGAAAGAAGCTAAAGCACGCTCTAAAAACCACAAAACAATCACAGCCAAATTCTTTATAATGATGTTCATTGTTCTTTTTTTTCCTTTTTTTTTGTCTTGTCTGAAATCGTGATTGTTCAGAAACATTTACCTGTGGTTTAATAGCATTTCAGATTCAGACAGAACCACCGCCCATGCTATTAAAAACCAAATTAATAAGCTGTATTTTCAGGTACGTAGTTCTCCCATTAAGGAAAAATAAATCAGATATAGCAGAATTATTACTTGCACATGTGCAAGCAGCTATTTTTGCAACTGAATAGACAAAGAGGAATAAAAAGACATATTTTTAAAGGGCAGAACATATGTTGCATTTGTATTTCCATCTTGATTATTGAGGAAAAAGTAAAAAATGTGTTCATAAAGCCTGAAAAAATGCTAAAGATAGCTACTGAAAAAGCAAGTTAGGGCTAATCCTAATAATAAACACAAAGCAGCACACTAAAACTCTTCATATGTCTACAAATTCTAAGAATAGAAGAACAAAATGTCTCTGAAAACTGAATGCATTATCAGTAGACAGTTATAATTCCTACATTGCTGATTGCAAACAAATGAGCAACTAACTGTTCTTGCAAGCATGGTGCCAGCTATTTATTGTTTATCTATTTTTATATAAATCTGGGTGTTTGGGAAAAGCTGATTACAGGGACACAGTTTTCAGGGGAAATGTGTGTGTAGTTTCAGAGGTAATACGGTAAACTGCATATTCTCACTGTTGGATGAGATGAATCTTTGACCTACAATTTCTCCTTTTTTCATATTTTTTAGGTTTGTATTCAAATAGCAGCACCACCCAAAATAGGGGGAATCCAGAGTTTTTACCTCCATCTGCAGACACCTGCTCCAGGTACCCAGGCCTGGAGGGAAACTTTAACGCCAACAGTCCCATATCTTCACTGACCAGCCCGGGCAGCATGCCAGAGCGGTGAGTGTGAGACTAAAGCTTGTCTGTTACAAAAGGCGTTTTTGCTTCTTCACATAGAGACAATTCATTGGAAACACCTGGAAACTGAAACTGATTTACAGCGGACCGAAGGATTTAAAGCGTCTTGCTCGTGGGCAGCAACAACAGCACTTGGTTTCCTTTTCTTCCCCAGGGTTGGGCTACATTACCAGATAGGATGCCTAATAAGACGTCAACACATACCGCTACATTTGACCCCTTTTTACGCATTTTTATCTCAGGTTGCTCCTGAGGAAGAAGTGGAAGTGCACTTTAATGTTATTCGATTATTTACCAAGAGGCAAACTCAAATAATCAGTTTATCCAAATTACAACACAAATAAAGAAAAATGAAACATATTTTCCCACTTACTCCTTGTGGTCTCTGGCTGGGGTTCAAGTTATCTGCTGCTGGAATATCTTCTGCCAACCCGATACAGAGGAGCTGAATGGGATTTCATTTTGGCAGTTCATTCAGTTGTTTTCTGCCAAAGATAAAAATAGTGAAAAACTTACTGACCACGGTTTTCTGCTCTTCTCTGCATCTGCTTACCGAGCAGTCCGTTGGAAGGATTTAACCCCTTTATTTGTCCATTTATGAGACTATCCAGGCTCTACTTTGCTTGGAAATCCATCCCGGTGCAGAGTGATGCCACCATAAAATCCTCTCCCGATGCGACTCTGAGGGATTCGCAATCACTTTGCCTTCTTTCATTTCTGAGCAGCACATGCTCAGAAACCAGCAGTGATATGAGCTTACACATTCTTGCATAAACCAGACATTATCACCAGAGATGGAGTTATGGCTTTGTGGTCACAATGATTGGGTAGTTGGAGGCCACAGAACTTGTGTGTGTTGTAAACTGAGACAAATTTTGTCTAGCCCAGAATACAAGTATAAGGGAGACTAAAAAGATTCAGCTGAGAGCCTGCAGGGCTTTGGCTTTTGGACATTGTGGCGTCAAATATTTGGTCATTGAAGGTTTGCCTGTAAACTGATTTTTATTGGAACAATAGTGACAACAAAGGCACTCTATCCAGTAAAAGAATGTTCATAAAGGCCAAGTCAGCATTTTTGTGGTTTGATAAACGTTGTAAAATCTTCACACATAATGCACATTGTTCCACATGAAACTCTCCTGTCTTCCCTTGAGCTCTGTTTAACGGGGTTTTACTTGATCAGATTTATTCCAAACAAGAATAATAGCAAAGGAAATTAAATGTAAAACTTTCCAACATTAACAAACATGTCCATAAATATTACACGTCTAAAAAGAAGCAGTCCACTATCAGCCAAAGAATAATCATCTTAATGTTGAGCATATCTATACAGGCTTACAACAGCTACGCCATCAACAACATCTATGGTACACACATATATATATATATATATATATATATACACATTCATTTTATTTTAGCTTTGTTTGACGACATATTTAAAAATGTACTCATCTTGCCACCTGTTCACTTATTTTATAGTGTCTCTAAATTCAGCATAAATTTGTCCTGCTCTCGCTTGAAGCTTAGACCAAGTTTTTTTTTTTCTCCATTCATCAGTACCCTCCTTCCTTTCTATGTCTTCTGAATTCGGGTCAATCTCCTCTCCTAAACATTTTGAAGGAGAAAGCGTACCATAATGAGTGACGCGAGACCCAAACAGAAGGTTTAACAGAACGATTTGACATGTCTTCACATTATTGTGTTTATGCAACTTCAGCAGTAAGCCAGCCTCTCTGATTATTTTAGAAAGCGCTCGAGGGGAGCGAATTCCTGTCTGTTTGATGCGCTTGTGGCTCCGCCGCCATGATAGGACAAACATGAGCTAATAATCCCAAACTCTCAAAGCCAAATTCTTCTCATTCCAGGTAAACAGCAAGGAAATGCAGCTGGCTGTAGTTAGAACAGGAAGAAGTGAGTATGAGGGTCGGCAATATACGATCAGAGAGGCAGTTTCCTTTGGCCCCTTCAGGCCTTTGGCTCCTGCTCCGATAACCTTATGCATCATCCGAGCGTTTTGGACACGGCGTCCACAGAGCGCCGCGCTGGCCTTCCACGGCTCAGACGTCTCAGCTGCGTTCTTCCAGCGTTACAGGAATGTTTATAGCTGAGGTCAGTGCTGATGTTTTCGGGGGCCTCCGAGGGGAATCCAGAGATGGGCTGAATTCTTCGGGCCCGCAGTCACAGCAGCACAGTCAACAGTCGCACTATATCAAAGCCCACTTTGTTTACATAATCCTATACACAGCCTGGTCTTTATTACCACGAGAAGCCACAGCCATCTGTAAGCTATATCAGTTTGGGTTTCAAAAAGCCCTTCTGATTGATTTTGGCTTTTATTGTATTTCTCCGCTGAAAGCAGAGACTGTTAAATTAAATGTAATAGCACTTGACATGGGAAATGGGTAATAAAGAGACCTGGGGACGATAAATGATAGATATGTAAAGAAATCTCTAAATATTTCCTTTCTTTATAGCCGGTCAGATGCGTTTATAGGCTGCGCAGGGCCTTCGGCCACCGATATCTCTTACTGCGTCTGGCTTGTTTATGAAGACTTCTCCGATAGAAACCAAGGCCGCTCGACTCTCTGGGGACCAATAGGCCCACAGTACATCATCCAGGAGAGCTCCCAGGCCACGTGAAATGCTGAGAGAGGGCCGTTTAAGGGGAGGGAGGGGGGGGGGGGGGGGGGGGGGGGGGGGGATTGGGGCACTCAAATACCAAACTGGCGGTTTTCAGCTGCATATCTCCTCAGAGAGATTCGCCCGCCTTCCTTTCTTCTCGTCGACTTGGCTGCACTGACTCACTCGTTTCCATGTTGAGTCAGAGTGTTTGTGCACAGTCAGCACATTCCTGCGCCGTGGCGACGGATACAGCGCTGCACAAAACCCGTCTAAGTTACTCCCCCCGAGGTGGAAACGCTTCTTCATAAAAAGCTCTACTGTTGCTGGACTGGCAGCGTTTACGTGCGTCCTGAGGGCGTCCGGCCAGAGGTTATCTGCATCCAATCAGCTTTGGACCTGGTCGCAGATTTCACTGATCACAGCCAATATTTGATTTCTGGAAACCATTTACGCTGCTTAAGAAATTGTAACGTGGTCTTTAAACTAGAAACCTGTAGAAAGTTTAAGCCATGAAGAGAAGAAAATGGAGTCAGTTGTGTCCCACCACATAAGAGGATCAATGTCCACAGACACGATGTTAATGTGTTTTCATTCTACCAGATGCAAAAATAACTCCACAGGGAACATGATGCCTGTATTTGCTGAGGCTGCACGGTGCTGTGCCAGTCGGCTGGTTATGAAAGGGAATCGGGTGTATATATACAAAGAATGGATGCCTTATACTGAATTGCTACAAATTTTTTTTGCTACGCCTCATTTGATTGTCCACAAACGTCCCATGAACAGGTTGGAGGAGTGAATGGAGTCCTCCTAACTTGTTGCGGATAGGTTTTGTTATTAAGCTGCAAGAGATTTATGTTTAAAAGCCTAAAAACTGGATGTATCATCAGGCTGGGCGCAGCATCCCTGTTTGAGGCGGCCGACGGCAGCCGGGTGAGCTCCTCCACTGACAGGCTGGACGTCCAGCTGCAGGCCTTCCAGAAGACCTACAACCACCAACAGCAGGTCTTCTCACAGCAGCATCAAGGTACCAACGGCTAGCCGAGCGGCAGACGGCCCGATATGTTTCAGTGTTTTCATGTGTCATCGTTTCCTGTTTGGCTCTCTGAGACTGTCTGTACGGAGAGGGAAAGGCGGGTCCTCCGGGCAGCGACGGAGGCTATGAGTCTTCCAGTTACTTCACAAACCCGCCCGCCTCCCACTCTGCAGGTAGGACAGCAATGGGAGGAATGACCGTGGATGGCTGAATAATTATTTACTCCGGCTTTTAAACAAATCATTTGGGGAAACAGAAGCCAGTAATGACATCTCTCTGATAAAACAGTCCGTCTCAGAGCTGAGCCAAATGACGGCTTCCTGTTTTCCTCCTCTCAGGGTTCGACTTGCTGCAGGACCTGCAGGGCCAGGCGGGGGGCGGTTACTCCATGTCTGCCTGTCCAGACGACGGCTTCCTCTTCCAGGCGGGAGGTGTCGACCGCTGTCTGAGTCAGATCTACTCCATCTACCTGGACTCGTGATCGGAAACCTGAAGCCAAAAAGAGTGAAGCGCTCCCACCGAAAATGAGCAAAAAGCAGCACAAAGGATGTGAGACGTTCAGGCACACCTACGACAGGCTGCAGGAGGGTGTTGTCAGCACTGCTCTTCTTTACAGAAGAGGCCGGTGGCAGTTTTAACCGAACAAAATATGACTGGAGGATAAGAAACTGTGTGCAAAAGTGGTGGATACGGATGACCGAAGTCTGTCTGCAAAACCGATGTAAATAGCAGTGAATTTTATATTCAGAGATGACCTTAGCGTTTGTGATCTGGATAGAAGGAGCTATTCACTTATATTTTGTGCTCTCCTATTCACTTATATTTTCTCTCTGTGTCTTTCTCAGCAATGTCAAACTCAACCATGGAGGACATTTCTGCATTTCCAGCAGTATAACACAGAGCCTCCCCGTCTGGGCTGAATTATCATGTCAGCACACACTGAATAAAACCAACGAAACAGAAAAGCAATTTAAGTCCCCAGAGCACTTCGATAAGACAATCTATGATCTTTAAATGCTAAGGTTGTATTTGTTTGGCATTATGAGAAATTTCCTCCGTCCCATATTTCCCAAATGTTTCATTAGAAGCAAATTTACACGTCTAAGATGGTTAGCTTAGCTCGCCATGAAGAGCAAAACAATCGGCTTGGCTTTAAAACTTGCTGGAACCCATTTGTCTTTAGTGGGAAACGGTTCCATCCACTTTCATACATAAGTAAAACTACTCTGCCGTGTCATTGGTACAGCACGTTCCGGCCAACCGAGTTTTGTTTCCAGGTTGGTGCAAAGAATGTTGGAAATGTTGCCCGAAGTGCAAACATTCAGGGCCCTGAATGAGGGACCAGCTCCTGTCTTCAGGCTAAACTAACCAACTTCAGCTGTTCCTTTCAGTAAATGAAATGTCCAAGTATCCAGCTTGTCCTGTTTTGTGTTTAAACTGCACTAAAGTGTCATTGAGCAACCAGCGAGTTGTTTTTGGAGTTGAAGTTGCAGCAGTAAGCTGAAACACTGCTGCTCCCTCGTATAAATGATGGTACAGAGCGTGTCCAGGTGAGAGACTCTGATGAACAGAAGTACTGCACTATTTGCTTTAAAAACAACACAGTGGCCCTTTTTTCTGTGTCTGCTAAATGTGTTGATGCTTCAGCTTGCTGTCTGTAATGCTTATTTGTGCTGTTTCTTGCCTGTGAGAACGAGATGTAGGCCGTTTACAATATCCCCCCCTGCACCTTTTCTGTGTCATCATGAGGACTTTAGGAAAATGTTTACACTGATTTTGTTGCAGTTCAGAGATTTCCTGTTGTCCCTGAGCAGTCTGTAGACTGTATAAACATGTGTCAGTCTTTTATATCGGAATAAAATTAGTATTTTACATTCGGGGACTAGTTTGATAATTCTTTTTTCCGTCAGGCTAATTTGTAAGTCATCACATTTCTGAATTTGTATGTTTTGTTCTGACAAGAGCTTGGTATTTGTTTTGGTGCAGCTACACTCACAGCACTATTTTGGTAAGACTTATGTGACCTTTATAACAATTATTTTTTCTAAAGTGTATTGGCCTGTGTGACGAAATAACGCTGAAGAGGAGAATGAACTAGTGGGGTCATGCTGCCTCCCAGTGGTCAAATGAAATCTGAATCAAAGCTGAGCACCATGCCACCAAAAACAATTGTTGGATGTCTCTCTGACCTTAAGCTTTTTAAAGGGTTATAGATTTCACTTTCGAGATTCAGCACATGCTCAATCAGGTCAGAGAAATGCCGATCTGTGTGAGCTGCCAGAGTTTCTGTTTCTCAACTCTGTGGGGAAAAACACACTAGTAAGGGACTCAGCAAAATGTGTTGCTGGCATAAACCTAATATAAATATTATACTTTCATTTGTTTAGATTCTCAAAACATTTCAACTAACCACAGAGGACTGACAAGCATACTAAATGTAGACTATAATTCTTCTTTTTTCTTTTTTTTCTTCCAATTCTATGTTTTTTTTTGCTTTTTCTTAACTTCTCAAAAGGGATCTTCCCATTTGAAGGAATTTTAATTTCATTACACAAATATGTTATTTTGTCAAGTCCAAGTTTATTCCAATGGACTCTTCATATTCTCAAGAAAAGATTATACATTCCACTGACCTGACCCTTTTACTCTATAATTGTTGGGGTTCAGAGGCCATCTGGCCCGAATTTAAATCAGGTGTCTTCAGGACTCAAAACAGAAGCTCAGATATTTAATATGTCTGCGCAATACCACCATTACCTTCCAAGCAAGCGTTAAATGTTTTTTTTATGGGAGCCAAAAGCACTTGGGACGCCCTTTTACCGTCACCGGTGTTCATATTTCTGAATGTATCCAAAAGAATTGATCTCTGAAATATTCCCATATGCGATCTGGCCTGGAATATGCATTTGTTTTTTTAGCTCGTTACATAGTTCTGCTTAAATATCATTTAGGTACTTTACTTTTTGAATTACTTTGAACTTTTATTGATTTGATCCTTTTAAATATTATTTTATTTTTCTGGGACATCTGTTTTCATCATGCAGTGCTTTTGTTTGTGTCTTGCAATTACTTTAAGGGTTTATATAGGTTCTGGAAAATCTTTTTCCTGCAAAAACAACAACAACAAAAAACTATGAGCTTGAGACCTGAGCGCAGGACAGCTGTGTCCGGCCACCAGGTGGCGCTCTGGCACCACCCGGCTCAGTCAAACTCTGAATCCAGCCGGGACCGAATCCTGCTGCGAGATCAATCCCCGACGTAAACAGCCTTTAAGTGGACACTGTGTGTGTGTGTGGGGGGGATGAACTTCGTTAACACCTCCCCGCAGAGAAACTGGAGGCTGCGTGTCCACGTTCCGGAGGAGCTCCGACCCCCAGATGCGCAGGAGGAGGAGAGGAGAGCCTCAGGCTGATGGGATGCGGAGAGGAGACAGACGGGATGTGTGAGCGCTCCATCAAACCTCCACAGAGCCGCAGACAGGGAAGCAACAGGTAGGAAGACACCTCGTTTTTTTTTTATTCCGTGTTTCTGCTATGTGCGCATTTGCAGACATGGCTAAAGCGGCTTGTCTGTACTGTTTATTACTTTATGGTCGTAAAAAGTTTGCTTTAGGCTAATTCTAGTGTAAAAAACAAACAAAAAACGATAGGTTCAGGAAGTTGTATTGTTTTTTTTGTGCACAGCAACAGCCATACTTTGGAAATACACAGGCTCAGAGGCTGATTGTCTCTAAGTAAACCCCCACACTGATGGAGACATTTCTGCCACACATTTAACCTCCTAATGTACTCAGTCCGTCTAATGAGCAGCGCGTGGGCTGGAAATTGACATTTGGGATAACAGAGTCTCCTGAATTCCTAGAATCGCTACATTTTACCCAGATATGTCCTCTCTTAAAGGATTCCTGAAGCCACTCATTCAGATGAGGCTCTGCTGGCAGAGAGGAAGTACCAAATCACATTGTTTGGGAGTGAGATCATCTTCTCCAGATTTAAATCCTATTTTTTGGATGACAGGCCCTCACCCTCTGTCTATAGTTCCTTAAAGGTCAGCCGGCCTATGTGTTGCGTTACATTTCAAAGATCAGCTCAGCTGTGTGTGTTTCCACTAAATGCTCGTTTGATTTCAATTGACTGAAAACTCACACACTCTCAGATACCTCTCCGACCTTTACTCCCCCGTCTGTTATCAGGGATGGGAGCCTGGCTCCTCAGCATCTAACTCCTGGGTTAATGGACTTTGCACGTCTAAATGCAACTGTTTAAACTTTGCTCAAATATAGGTGTGAACATTTGAACTGGAGCATCCAAATCTAGCCAAATTACTACCCGCGTGCAGCCGCACAGGCTGGACACTTTCTTCCTGTTCCTGAATGCATCTGCCTGTCGATGGCTATCAGTTAGAACAAAAGCCCTCCACAGGGCTGCCCAGCATGCAAATAACCACACAGTTAAAGGACACGAAATGCCACAAACTATTTATAAACCCAGAGCGCCAGAGGAGCTAAATGCACATGATAAAACTCTCAGGAAGTCCAGATTAGTAAAAACAGAGCTGAGCACTAAATGCTGTTCAGGAGCAAAAGTTTTAGGTTCTTCTGGTGTATAGATGCAGCCATTGCTCCAGAGTTATCCAACAACAAAAAGAAAAGCAAAGTGGTGAAAAAATACTTAACTTCAGTACAACAAGAACAAAGAAATATGTTTGAATTTGAAACTTTTCATTAAAAAATGTGTGCGTTTGGGCGTTTATCTGTTGAATCAGAGTGAGAACCAGATGCCAGGCAGACCAATACAGGAGACATGATGGCATTGGGATAATGAGCGGGTGTGTGCTAAACCTGCCAAAAACAAACAACCGACTTGATTCGAGCATGGAGCGTTATCCTGGAGTCAGAGAGAACTTTTCAGCTTCGCTGTGAACTTCGTGGGTTCAGGTTAGGGATGCATGGCTCTGCTATGGATTCTGGAAACAGGAACCTCACACGGCTGCTCGCACGTGAAAGGAACTGATCAAAGTGGCAGAACAGGGAAAGCTCTCAGCTGACTCCCCCAGTTTTAGGGTCTTTCAGCCCCAAAAACCCCAGGCCCCAAAAACTCAAAGGAGGATTATGCGAAACCGCTCCAGCTGTCCAGATTTACCAATTTGTGTGTGTTATATCACCCATTTGCTAATAAATCACTACATTATTGGCAATGTTAGCAAATCAACATGGGATCACAGCAAGGCGTGCCAAAATAGGTTTGTTTGGATGCATACTTTAAACACAAAAGCAGGATTTTACTTCATTTATCATAAGTTAAAACACATCAGTGTGTATATATCTTTCATCCAAACGCGTTAAACAAATATCAAGTTTGAGCAGAGTTCATCTCATTTCTATTTCTTTCAGCTTGAGCTGTAGAGTTGTGTGAGTCTCCAAAGTCAGGCGCCCCTGTTTGGATACTGCCTTCTTCTTGCCGTCCATGTTTCATCCTCCCTTACACATACTGGATACATTAGATCACCTCTTCTGCCACAGATAGCAGCTCCCTTCCTGCCTTTGTTCAGAGTTCTCACGGCTCCGCTGACATTCTCAGCCAGAGCTGCTTGCGTTTTTCAAACCTCAGTTTTGGCTTTTGTCGCCTCTCTTTGAGACACAGAAAGGTCAGTTTGTGTTAGTGCTGAAGTGTCTGACGCAGACACTTGAACAAGTTCCCCTTAAAGGACCTTGTTTAACCTGACGTGAGCATGTATGAAATGAACAATCACCTCAGGAAGTCTTGTTGTACACGTCCTCATTCCAGACACGGCTGAGGAACATTTTCCGAAAAGAAACAGAAAGTTCACTTTTGGACAGGACCTGTGGGATGGAGCTTCTCTGGTCTATGTCATGAGGAAAGCTCCCGTGTTTCCTGTGCTGAATGTCTCCCCCTGCAGCTCAGAGCTCAGCCCGTCTGTCCAAGCTGTCATTTCCCTCCCTGCTGCTCGTCTTCATTAGATGAGAGGCAAAGCCGTTTTCAGTGCCAGTGCTTTTCTGCAAAGTGCGTTAATCACCTTAGTTTGAGAGACCAAAACAGTCATTTTAAAACTCTCTTTTGTCAGAGTTTCTCAAAGGCTCTTCTGCATCTTAAGGAACTTCTTTTTTGCCCATAAGGCTTTAGGTGGGTTTTTTGGCTGTTTAACTTGATGCAATGATATGAAATAGTTCTTTAAAGGACACTTTTTCAGACACTGCTGAGTAAATTAGCCTTACAAAAAAAGAAAAGGGGGAAAAATAGTGAAGGTGCATCCATTAGTTCAGGTTAGAAGGAGTCTGTCTGGACAACCCGGTTCATCCTGGGTCCAGGCGTGCCCTGGACTTATGCCTGTTTGGCTTCCTGCCGCTAATAAACAGCACATCCTTCATGTGAGGTTCATAGTAGCATCTGTTTCCTCTCCCACAGCCAAACACAGGACTCCCGCTCCCCAGTGATCCGTGTCACCATGCCAACTTTTACGATCCTCACAGCAACCAGGAGTCCTCAGAGAAGCTGCTGAGTTTACAAGCGCATTCACGTCCCTGTTAGCCATAAAGTGCGATCACATCAGCCCTGACAGAGCGACCGGGGGGGCAGGTAGGCTGGAGGAGGGGGCAGAGACCGGCGGTGCTGGGATGACGTCTCCTGTTCATTCCTTCCTCTGATTTCTGTTTCAGAAATGGTTTTCCAGTGGACGTTTCTCATCATTCTTACGCTGCTTGAGAGGACAGGACTGGTTGGTGGGTGCGTTTGTCCACCGGCCACCGTCCTGTCTCAGTTCCCCTCGGAGGTTCCAGCTGGAGCGTGCTGCTTGAACTTCTCTGGCTCTGCCGTCAGCCTCGTGCACTGGTCCGTGTTCACCAATGACACAAACCTACAGACCCTGGATCTCTCCAACTGTAACATCAGCTCTATCGACCTCGACGGGAAGGAATCTTCCACGCTGCAGAAGGTCCACTTGAATGGTAACAGACTGACGACGCTGCCGAGGCTCTTTCTTTCCAGCCAGCCCAGCTTGACCGAGGTGAACCTGAGCGAGAACTTTCTCCAGGAGCTTCCTGAGGGCTTCCTGAGGGGCTCCGACAGCCTCCAGAGGCTCAGCCTGCGGGGGAACCGGCTGCGTTATCTCCCCGGAGCCTTGCTGCAGGTGTCCAGCCTGCGGAGGCTGGAGCTGGATGGAAACCTCTGGGACTGTTCCTGTTCCTTACTGGAAGGTCTGGAGGCTGGCGGGCGGGCCAACAGGACCACCAAACTGCAGGATCTGGTGGGGAACCTGACCTGCTCCTCCCCTCGGCACCTCGCCGGCCGGACGGTCTGGTCGGTGAACATCAACGACGCGTGCCGCCCGGCCGGCCTGACGGTGCTCTTCATCGCGCTGCCCCTGGTGGTGCTCGCCGCCCTGCTGCTCTGCTGGTGCTGCGGGAGGAAGAGGAGGAAGAAAGAAACCCCGGCCTTCAGCTCCTCAAAGAAGAGGGCCTCCAGCTGCAACGGCCAGAAAAGCCACGGCAAGCAGCACCTCCCGGGGGCCGAGCAGGCCAGGGCCGGGGGCGGCCCCAAAGGGGGCATCCTGAAGAACCTGGGCAGCTCCAGGGACATCTACGAGGAGGTGCAGGTCAAGCTGGGCTCCGCGGAGTCTCTCCCTCCGGTCTCCTCCTTCTGCTCCAGCTCCACGGAGGGGAGGCAGGGCTCCCAGGAGCCCGACGCCGCCAGCCGGACGGAGCTGGACACGGTCAGCGTGACGGAGGTGATGAAGGACTCGGCCGACAGGGAGAAGGCCTACATGACCCAGTCCACCGAGTACTACAGCCTGGTGCCGGGCATCGAGCTGGAGGACTCGGACCACGCCGAGTACGAGAGCGTCGACCTCTCCTGACCCCATCGTTGTGGAGAAGTATCCTCCTGTTTCATGCCGGAGAATCGTCTGCCACAGAGTCTTTTGGCCTCATGTTCGTAGACTGTGGTGATGTGCGTTTCCGGGGCGGCGTCGCCGTGTTGGGTGATCACAAAGCAGAGCGACAAAGAAACTGCTGCTGATCGCACAACAAAACTACCCTTAGTCTGTTTGAAAAAGAGCAGCTCTACACGTCATTACAAGCCAAACGATTGTTGGCATTAATGACAATTTAAATGAATGCCAGAACTCACACAGTGATGACTTAAACACTCATCAGGATGAATGAATGAACGAGTGACTGTGGGACGTCTGTTAGTTAACCTAAATGTAAAAAACCATCCTGCATAACTTCACTCCTAACACAAAGTAACAATTTCCTCTACATTTACCTGCACTGATGCCTATGTTGTTACATAGATTTGCCTATCTTAACACACACACACTGGAAACAAAGACTGACTGTAAATCTGCCTTTTGAGCAAAGACTGATTTTTAAATATTTTAAACTGCTTTTTAATCTGCTTTTGAAATGTGTGCATATGTTTTTGTGTTAAACCCGGAACACACAAATCAGAAAACCACCGGAGCCGGTTAGCTGAAGGTAAAAATGTTGGCTCTGTGTCTAAGTTGCTCACAACACTGCCTTCAAAGGCAAATAGTAACTACAAACAGGGTTTTATATTGAGGGCCCTTCAGTGTACTGCGCAGAAGCTGTACAACTCTAAACATCGGTCACAGATGTTTAGACTCTGAAGTATGCTAGCAATTCTCTTTTAAGGCTGCATTCAACAAAGCGTTTCCATCAAGCCTTTTCTTGAATAGTGATGTCTGAGTGATGTGTCTGCTTGTTCTCTCACAGGATGCTGAGTCAAAACAACCATCGCTTTATGGGTTTCCCTCTGATCTTGCAATGTAATTAAAAAGCTCTGTTGAATTTCAAAGGCCTCGATGTAATGATGTCACCCTGTTAAATATTTGCATGATGTCAGATGTTTATTTTATTTTTCTCTGATCCAGACAGCTGACCAATGGAAAATGGACATTTCAGGACAGTGTGATTTGATTCAAATGATGCTCTTTTTTACATTTGTAAATATATTGCAATAAAATCGTGATCCTTAACGCGAGTCTACTAAGACCTGCATGTCATTATTCCTTCAAAGCCAGAAGCAGCTTGCATGGCAGCTAAGAAGTTTAAAAACAGTGCACGGTGGAGCTATCATGCCATAACAGGATCTTTATTTTCTATTTTTAAAATACTTTATTTCCCAGAATGTACACATATTAATTATATGCTCTTAAAGACAAACGGCACTTGAGTGTGTTACAGAAAAGCTGAGAGCTGTCCGACTTCAGGAGTATCACAATGTAAGAGGAAGTGGTTCAGTCCAGACCTTTTCGTGTGGGATATAAAGAACGCATTAACAGTTTGACAGAACGGGAGGGGTGGCAGATTTTATTTAAAGACACAGACACATACAGTAAATTTATAAAATAAAATAAATCACCCATTGTTGAAGAAGGTTATAAACAAAACTAATTGCTCTTTATTTTCATCACACAGAAATAGACTGAAAAATTCCCAGGCTGGGTGGGTCTTTAATACTGGTTTCGATTTTTTTTATTGTTTAATCTCTGTGGGCTTTTTAATTTGTGAGCAGATAATTTATGCCAAACACTGGACATCACAATCTGTGAGGATGCAGGACACAGAAGCTCAATTGTTGTCTGAAATCTGCCGAGCAGATAGACGTCTTTCACTTTTAGTGTCCCCGAAGGTTCCTTTTTCTCAGTGAGAGCTGTGGAGGGTGCAGCAGGGTGTGGAGCTTCCTGGTATTGAAAAAAACTGAGACGTATTTTCCGGATGGTTTTTCACATATTTTCCATCTAAGCTTTTATTTATGGCACACTGCCTTCTAAAAGACAGATATAATAGATCTGCACATCATGCTTCTGAAATGTTCTGTGTTTATCTATTTCTTTTATCTTTATTATCTATTTTATCAAATGGTCTTGACCAACTATGATAAATATATATTTTAATCATTCTTTCTTTACTTAAGATTCTCTTTTTTTTCTTATCATATATGACTATAATTCCAGGTTTTCCCTTCCTCTTTTTCCAAAAGATATTAATATCAAATCAGCCCTTTTTGTCATGGACAAAAGATTTTGTTCAAGAAGTTTTTAAGACAAGCTATCACACCAGGTCAAATTTGTCTAGAAACTGAAATAAACTTGTAACTTTATGTCTTAGTTGAAATCATGTCACCAGTAAAAACTTGCTGTACTCCCTTAAAAGTGGCTAATGTGAGGCTAAAGGGGTTAGCATCAGTTAGGGACTCCTGAAACAGATTTTTAAAAAAACTTTCTAAAGGATTAAAAACCATAACATTTCCAAACTTAAACAGTAGCTCAACAAGCTTTGACATTATTCCAACAGTGTTTTATTATTAGAAGATATTGATGTTTGGAGTCTTTATCTGCAATGTAGGAGTACAAAATACAAATAAATGCAAAAAATGAAGCAGGACACCATGAATTATATTTAAGGAAAATAATGCCAACAAAACACTAAGAGGATAACTTGAATTGGATTGGTTTATTAAACACATCTGGCAAAGTCAACCATATTAATATGTAGCACTGTAACAATCTTACAAGAAAGTAATGAAAAGCTAAAGCCTCTTCGAGCAGTTCACCCAGCCTCTGGGAACATGCTCCAGATCTTTTCTTTCTCGGCGGCCCCTTGGCGCTCTGCCCTGACACCGGCCCAGGCCAGCTACATGTACCTGAAATCTCACTTTCCTCTTTTTTTCCACTGGAGCTCAGATTTCACCCGGCGTGGGAAGTTGTAATTACAGCATTGGGTTACCGAAACGATCAAGATGGAGCTTCTTTCTCTGTGTGGTTCTCAGAGGTCTCAGCTCCGGCCAGTGGATCCAGTGGCCAGAGGCAGGAAATGACTGGACTGCATCAGTTGTTTGAGTATTCATGAAAGGTATTCTGGGAGCACGTTTGATCGAGATCAAGACCACAGACAAACTACTGTCTGATCTGTTACATAGTGGGCAGAACCATAGACAAGAAAGCTCATGTTTGGGAGAAATAAAAAAATGTTAGAGAGATTTATAATTGAAAAGTTCCGATATGATTTGCACAGGAAAAACAAAACAAAAAATTGTCAAGCTGATTTAAAGAAATGTTCACTCTCAGCTATTGGAGATAAACAACTTTCTACAAGAACATACAGCTCTGATGATAGAACGTTTTCTGTCAATAAAAGAGCATCAGGCCATCTTTATGAGATAAACACAGGACTCAAAGGTCAGTTCCTCTGTACGCCGCAAGAGTGACATCTAGTGAGAACTTTAGCTCACTCCAAGTGAGAGAGCCATGACGACAATTTATTGTGACAAATACATAAATCTGTTGGTGACGACACAGATAAAAATGCAGTCACCGTGAGGTAGAATTAGACACTGAACAGGCCCTGACCGGGGATACATGGCCCCATAAATGTCCATTCCCTGCAGTGCAAACAGAGTCAGCGGGCAAAGAGCGGCTGGTAAATAAGAATCTGATTTACAGCAGACTGCTGTAATGATGTGAAAAGCAAACAAGCGAGGAGACGACGAGCACAGCAGCCCATGACAAAAGGCTCGGACAGGGCCAATAAGAAACCGCAGAAGTCTCTCCAATCAGTCCCTGTGTGTGTTTTATTTGATTTTCTATCTGGAGGCATGAGGTCCGCACAGATAACAGGTCCAAAGAACGCAGATGACTTCGTGGTATCCATCAGACGTGTTAGCAGAAGAACGGCAAATTAAAATATAGCTTTTTATGCCTCAAAATGTCAATAAAACTTTTTCTCAGCAATAATACATTTTGCAGCAGTTAAAAAGAACCTCATACAGCATCAACAGATTTAGAGAGGTTTTAAACACATAACAATTATAAGTAGACTTAAATCCAATCAATTAAGGACTAATTAAAGTATATGTTCAAAATAACAAGAATAATATATTACTTTTAATTACATTGTTGAGGTTATTTCTAAATTATTACATGTCTTCTAAAAACTCAGATAGAAATGAGTTCTTCATTCTTTCTATTAAGATCTGCACAATGTTATATATAAATATATATATGCATGTGCATAAAGCATCTAATCCCTATATGTTTAATTCTATTATATTTAGTTAACTTAATAACAGACTAAATGGAAGAAATAAATTATTCTCTGTAGCTTTAGGCGTGTCTGTCCCTGGCTCTAGTTTCCCAGGTAATAAATTAAAATGTTAATTTATGACGGCACAACAGAGGAGTTTAAATTGAGATTTAGACGAGGAACATTTCTCTTCAGAGAAGCAGAACACGTCACAGGATCAGCCTCACAGGTTAGATCTGGTGTCTTTTACTAAATTCTAAATATCATAATTATTGTTCTTCCACATATTTGAACAGTAATCCGTTTTTTTTTGTTGTTTTAGGAAACCACTGTCTTAAACATGACAGTCTCCTACTCTCTTGAGGTGGCCAATGCAAAGTTTTGTGGCTTCTCCAGGCTCCTGTTCAGGTGGAAGGGGAGCATCTACCGGCTGGTGTACAAAGAGTTCCTGCTGTTTTGTGGAACTTATCTGTTTTTCAGCGTGCTTTACAGGTAAACTCGATGAAGTCTTGCTGTTCCTTCCCTCCTCTGCAGCGGCCTCCTTGACACTTGTCCCCTCGCAGGTTTTTTCTGACTCCAAAGCAGCAGGACCTGTTTGAGCGGGTCGCCCTTTACTGCGACAAGTTCACCAACGCCAACTTCATCCCCGTCCTGTTCGTTCTGGGTAAGACCGGGTGAGCAGGCTCCTTCTCTATCCCTACAAAGCACAGATCTATAGAGGGCTCCGTTGTGGTCGTGGCAGGTTTCTATGTGACCCTGGCCTTTAACCGCTGGTGGGGTCAGTACACCAGCTTCCCGCTGCCCGACAACCTGATGATGGTGGTGTCCGGGAACGTGCACGGCGCCGACGAGAGGGGCCGCCTGCTGCGCCGGACCCTCATGAGATACGCCAACCTGTCCTCCGTCCTCATCCTGCGCTCCATCAGCACCAGGGTCTTCAAGCGCTTTCCGACCATGGAGCACGTCGTGGAGGCCGGTGAGAACAAGAAATCCCTGAGTCACATTTTATTCAGAACAAATGCTTTTTCAAAGACTCGTTGGAATGAGCAGCACGCAAACAGACACCAAATAATCACATCAAGGGATCTTCAGTTTACTGAGTCATTACTTGAAATTTGACTTTTTTTTTCTAAACTTAACAGCAAACTAAACTTAATTAAAATACAGTTAAATTCAAATTCAAAAACTTTACTTATCCCAGAAGGAAATTAGAAGAACATTAAAAAAGCACAAAATCAAACTATTTAAAAAAATGGAATTACCTACTTTAGACTTTTGAATAAACAAATGAATAAAAAAGAATCCCTCTTTATTTTTTCCTAAAACTAACAGAACTCTTGGCTGGAACGTCAGGGACGAGTTAACATGTTGGGACGGTGATTAAAGTTCTTCAGATGACATGGGATTTACAGTGTTGTGTATGTTTGCGCAGGATTTATGATGAAACACGAGCTGAAGTTGTTTGAGTCGCTGCACTCTGATTTCAACAAGTACTGGATGCCTCTGACGTGGTTTTCAAACCTGGCGTCCAGAGCCAGGGAGGAGGGCCGAGTGAGGGACGACATCGCCCTGAGGCTGCTGATGGACGTGCGTTTGTAACTTCAGCTTTATTCGATATTGAAATAAACCCACTTTATCTTGCTCACATGTAAAATCTGACTATGAGACCTCTATAAAACTATGTGTCGGCAGGAGCTCAATAACTACAGAGCCAAGTGCAGCCTGCTGTTCCACTACGACTGGATAAGCATCCCTCTGGTCTACACTCAGGTAGGATAAACACTCACAAATGGACGAGTTCTGATCTTCACTAAACATGTGCAACTCACAGCTAGAGCTCAAACACCATCTCATCAGCGTCAGTGAATGAATTAATGTGACCGTCTGCTCGAAAACATCATCAATCATCCAAACAAGTTGTTTGATCGCAGTAAAGATTACTGAAAAATACTCAATTGAAACTGTTTTCAAATCTTATTGAATTTTTTATCACATATTAAATCAATTACCTGGAGTATTTCACCCTGTTGTGTGAGCATCTGTGCTGAATGAACATAAGCATACTCTGGTTATTCTTTTTAATGAGGATTTTACTTCAGTTAGATGATTTTTCATCAACTTGTATCAATCGTCTTGCTATCTGAAGTGTTTTTTCCAGAAAAGATCCGACTAAAAGACACGTATTTATACTAAATTTCATGTCAAACCAATTTTTTGCATTAAAAAGCCGAACTGACACATCTCTTTCTGCTTTTTTCTGTGCAGGTGGTTACCATCGCTGTTTACACCTTTTTTGCTTTCTGTGTAATTGGGCGACAGTTCTTGAACCCTGAGAAAGGACTCGACGGTCACAAACTGGACATGTACGTCCCCGTTTTCACGCTGCTGCAGTTCTTCTTCTACACCGGCTGGCTCAAGGTAGCCTGGCTCATATAATATGATGTGTTACACTTAAATAGACTCATAACTTATGTTAGATTACAGGTTTACAATGAACTGTAACTGTATTTAGTTGAGAGTTTCTGTGATTTTGCTCGGCAGGTGGGAGAACTGATCATAAACCCTTTTGGTGAAGATGATGATGACTTTGAAACCAACCAGCTGATTGACAGAAACATTCAGGTCTTCAGCCTCAAAGCTCTGCTCCTTCATGTCCAGTATCAAGACTTTAAAATGACATTTTAATGAATGAAATCTGTTCCTGTCTGTTCCTGCAGGTATCGATGCTGGCTGTGGACGACATGTACCAGAACCTGGCTCCCATTGTGAAGGACAAACACTGGACACAGAGCCACTTTGCTGTCCCTTACACTGTGTCCACAGCAGCAGAGACTCTCCGACCAGCTTTCATAGGCTCCACCTTTGATATGAGGTAAAAATCACCCACACAAAGATAAATATCTTATTTTCAAATACCATCTAGTCGGAGGTAAAAGAAGATCCAAGATAGAGAACAATACATTTACAGAGAAAAAAATTCATCTAAACACACCAAGCTTTTGCAGTTTAAAACCACCTTTACCGTTACTTGCAATTTAAGTGGATTTCTGTCCTTAATGCACTAAATGCTGCAGAAATTTCCCTGAAAAAGGAACAAAATCTGTGCCTGTAAATGTGCATTTGTCTTATTGATTAGGATTTAGGCTACTTTGATATAAATGAGAATGTGATGATGTCACGTGGGTTGTTTGCTTGCACAGTAGCGCCATCTTGTGAGGAATGCTTTTTAATAATGTATTTACAGACAACTGTTTACTGTCTGAATAAAAATGTCAGAAAACTACTATCATATGAGAACTACTGGTTCTCATGAGTACTACTGGTTCTCATATAAAAGGTTAGAATAAATTAAAAAAGGTTGTAATAAATTATATTTAAAACGTTTGGATGAAAATTTTAGATGATCAAAAAATATGATGATACACGGCTGAAATACGTTCTAATTATAATTTTTTGTTAATGAAAAACAAGTGTGACTGTATTTTTGCTTCAAAAAATCCCCATCTTTACAGAATGAGCGTTGAAGATCTGGAGATCCAGCAGCCGACAGATGCACCGGCGAGCAAACAATATTTACCCCTCCAGGGCACTCTGGTTAACGGGTTCGACAGTTTCCTGCACAGGGGTAAAGGAATGCTGCGCAGTGGGAGTCTCCCTTATCTGGTGGAGGTTTTGTCAGACCCAAATGAGGAAGATGAGGCTGAAGTAGGTGAAACAGATGCCTCCGATCACAAAGAACAACAAGTGGCTCTAATAAATGCTGCACTGGGACAAAACATATGAAAATAATTGATTCTTATTGAATCATTTAACAAATTTAAAACATCACATGCATGACAAAATAAACCATTTTGGAAAATGTCACCTTATTTTTTTGTGTTGTGGACGCAAACTTTTCCAGAAACCGATGTTGCCATGGGTACAGTGAGTTACACTTTGAGGCAGCATCATTGAGTGTAAATTTAAGTGAACACTGTAAAAATAAAATTAGTCTGTGTAAACTTGTGAGATAAATCAGGAGAATGAACAGAGGATGCAGCATCTTTGCATGATATAGGTTTGTTCTTGATTGATTTGAGGGAGACTTGATAAAATGTTAAGTCTTCAAAAAGACTGACATACCTATTGTCTTATCTGAAGTTCTGACTAGTTTTTCTTATTCATTCTAACATTTCCACCCTTTTGGCTATATTTCAGAAAATAAATACCATTAAAAACCTTTCAAATCTGTTTAAAGTGGAAGGGCTATTCATGATAGATAATCTAATTGTGTGGTGAAATAACCAGAGCATATGTTTTAATTAAAATCACACAAGCAATGAGAAACAAATTAGATGAATGAATGAAATGAATGTTTTTATGTTTATTTTATGCTTTTTTATGTAAACAGAAGGCGACATATTTATATTAAAAAAGAAGATTCAAGTCAAATGAAGCTGCAAGTACTTTGTTCTCCATGGAGTTAATGTGTTCGGCTTTTTCATCTGGTAAAAGATTATAATAAAATGTAAATATGAGAAGAATGTGTCTTGTATATACAAATTTGTGGTTTTATTTTCCTCATCTTTTTCCTTAGATGCAGTGCAGTGATGCACTCCAGTGACACATTTTAAAAACTTTTCTTTATTGGACAAAAATGCAAATATAACAATAATACTGTTACAAATGATATTGTGTTTTGGAATCTCATCTATTAAATAGTAATACTGAATAATAGATAAGATTGCACTTGACTAAAATGTTCAAAACATAATTTTGCCATTTTATAAATAAATATAAATACATGTTGACATAATATCTGTCAAACTTTCATAAAGAGATAATTCTGTGGAAATAGTTTTTAGAACTTTAATTTGAAATGAGTCCTAAAATGGAGCAATGACAACAACGGAAACGGAGAAGGGTCAAAACACTATTTTGCGCTTCCGCGTTGTCAGATATCCTTAAATCGGACAGTGAGAAACGTTCACATTTGACAACAGGTATGTTACAACGTGTACAATTTTAATATAACCCGCGGTGTGTTGCCTTTTAAAGGCACATATGCTCTGACATATATGAAGAAGCTGAGTCATTCAGGTTTTATTTGTAATTACAAAATAATTCACTCGTGTACCCGAACACGCAGCTAGCCTGCTAACGCTAGCTCAGTCACTTTTACCTTTCGAAATGAGGAGATAGTTTAAACACAGTTTTGGGGCACTTTTAGTCGTTGTTTTACGGATCTCTGTAATTTTAGACCGCGAAAAAAGAATTTGTAAAGAAGATTTAAACCAGAATATCTAAGAGGACCGTTATTGTGTTCAGTATAGGCTGTGTTAGTCAAGAAGGTTCTGTTTTGTTTGGTGTGTACAGGAGCATCCCTGCAGCCAGGCAGGAAAACGGTGCAGGGAAGCCGTGTTATGACTCCTGACAGCCCCCTACTGAGCTGCTGACCACCACCCTCATCATCTTCACCATGTCTGTGGGCGACAACCCTCACCTGCTTCTGGGCAGGATTCGCTTTTTGAACAGATGCATCGAGGGTTTCAGGAAGAGCCAACCTCTGCCAGAGTGTCTGTGTTATGTCCCCAAAGAAGTGTGCTACAAAATCTGCAAGGACTCATCGGCCAGCAACGCCGCCTCCTCTGGGGCCTCGGCAGGAGGCTCCACCGTGGGCAAAACGATGGTCCCCGTCTTTGAATCTCCGCACCAAGTTCCCCACAGCAAGAAATCCTCCAAATACAACATTGAGCCAAAGAAAGGGACCTGCATCCGGACCACGGGGGAGGAATACTGCAACAGCCAGGGCCTTTGGGTCAAAATGAATAAGGTGCAGCCACCTTCTGTTCTTTCAGCAAACTCCAACTTCTTTAAACAGCTGCCATAACTCCAATCTGAAGGATCATTTTACCACTGTCCCTCCCTTTACCCTTTGCACCCAGAGTCCTATGATGCATGAGCCTGTGTGCATTTAAGGCACACTCTCCAAACAACTTTAAAAAACTTTAGATTGGTTGTAATCATGCATTTATGCAGATTTTTTCCTGCTGATACGTTGCAGTTTACTTCAGAGGGAGGAATTACCGGGTTTCAATCCACAAGCAGTGCACACCTTCTTCTTGTGCCAGTGGTGGATTCATTCAGAGTCATGTCAATAAGGTTAAGCATATGTGAATATAAGCCATGAGTATTATTTCTGAATAAGTGGCCAATTTTATGGCAGATCTGAGAAACATACAGTGGACAAAAGCTTTTGTTCAACAGCAAAAAAAAAAGTATGAGAGTGAACCAAAGCACACAGAACACTTAACTGTTCGAGCTCTGGGTTTGTGGTTAATAACTGTCCACGTGTCTGGTAAAGCACGGCATTGCTCCCCCCTCACGATCCCTTCCTGTTTCCAGGAGCAGCTGGAGGAGCACCGCCCGGCCCAGGAGCTGGAGGAGGGCTGGATCCTGGTGTGTAAACACACCGAGGGAGGCGACCGGCTGGTGCCCGTGGAGTCTCCAGACACCATCAGCAGGCAGCAGCAGCTCTTCGGCTTCGACCACAAGCCCTGCAACCGGTGGGAGCAAGTGGTGGACGTGGAGAACGCGCTCTACATCGGTGCCAAAGCCAAGATCTCAGAGTGTGACGCCGCTGCCGTCCAGAAGCTGAAGTGAGCCGGCGTGTGAGAACTAAACGTGTCGAGTCGCGGTTTCTTAATTATGATGCTGACATCACGCTTTCGAAAGGTATGTTCCTCCTACCTGGACGTACGAATGTGACGAGGACCTGGTGCACTACTTTTACGACCACATCGGGAGGGAAGACGAAAACCTGGGAAGCGTGAAGCAGTGCGTGACCAGCATCGACGTGTCTTCCTGCTCAGTAAGCAACATTTTCTCTTTTAACACACTCGGCCAATTGTGTAAATCCTGGTTTGTCCCGGGAACATTGAACCAGTTGTCAGATATCATGACATTTTCTGACAGGAGGATCCCAACGGGGGGGTGAGCTGTCTGACGGATGGCGACACCGAGACCTACTGGGAGAGTGACGGCATGCAGGGACAGCACTGGATCCGCCTGCACATGAAGAGAGGCACCGTGGTCAAGTAAGAAAGCCAAACCAAAAAGAAAGAATGCCTGTCGTGTTCTTTGTGGTAAATGCCCTGGCGATCAACGTCACTAACCTGCAGGATGCTCACAGATTCTCTTTATTTTAATACCAGTTTATGAAACTCTTGGCCAAAACCCGAGAAGAATTAAACTTAAAGCAGTAAACTGGCACTCTGTGTGGACTTAAAGAGAGTTGTGTGGACTTTATGGTCAATAGTGGGTCTGTTTTCGTTCACCAGTAAGCTGATACTGACTGTGGACTCGACTGATGACAACTACATGCCTAAGAGGGTCACGGTTTACGGAGGAGAGGGAGACAATCTGAAGAAGCTGAGTGACGTCACCATAGACGAGTGAGCTTCCTCCAGTCCCATTTTCACAGGATTCCCTTACATTACAATCTATCATGACTATTGTTGCTCACATACAGTGAGAGACAAAGCAAGTTTCACCATATATTTTACAGATAGCCATTTTATTTATCGCTTTCTGTTGTAGATCTCATCATATTTCAGAGCTGGTTGCCATTTCTTTCTAGCAATCTTATAGGGGAAATATGCGTGCTGGAGGACATGACCGCCCACCTGCCTGTCATCGAGGTTCGGATAGAGGAATGTCGAGGTCAGGCTTTTAAATTCGTTTCTGTGTTAAAAGAGTAATTGGTTCTCTGAAGAAGCTTTTTAAATCAAACTCAATACATTTTTTCTCCTTCTTTTGGCTTTTGCAGATGAAGGAATCGACGTGCGGATCCGGGGTTTGAAGATCAAGTCTTCTTGTGAAAGGGACCTGGGTCTGAACGCTGATGTTTTTCAGTCCTCCAACCTGGTGCGTTACCCCCGTCTGCAGGGCACCCCTCCAGACATCCTGTACCGCAGAGCCTTGGTCATCCAGAGGTAAAGCAGCTGACACAAAAAGATGCTGCTCAGACCGGTGCAGAGCAGGCAGGGAACTTCTCTCGTTTCTTTTTCTCCTTCAGGTTTATCTGCCTCCTGGACAGTGTGCTGCCTCATGTGGTGCCCGCCTGGGACTACAGCCTTGGCACCTTCAACCAGATCAAAGTGGGTGCTGAATACCACATTAGTCCTTTTACCGACACTCTTTACAATAATTTCCAAGGGGATTTTTACCTGTTAAAACGGAAGGACACATTGTACTAATATATCTTTAAAAGGCAGAAAGGGGGGGCACCAACGTTTGAGAGGGAACAAGATACTTTAAGGAACCTTCCTATTATGTCCTTTTTGCTTGTTACATCTCGTTTTAACTCAATAGTCCCCAAAAGGTTGCAGTGGTGTGGTTTTGGAGCTCCCCCGCTGTAACGTGTTAGCTTATCTGACCCTCAAAATAGTGCAGGTTTCTCCTTATTGGTTAACTCTACAACTTTTTCTGTGGCGCCCTCTAGAGCATAAAGCAGTTCTTGCTGCTCTCCAAGCGCCGCTCGGCCCTCATCACTCAGTGCCTGA